AAAAAATAAATAAAAGCTGTGAAATATCTTTTTAATAATTTGTTGACGTAGTGAGGAGGTTTCATAACGTTGCAACATTTATTCGAGTCATCGTAGGACCTGGGTGGATTACAAAACAAATGTTGATTGAAAAAATGTATTCAACACAAATGTAAATAATATAAATTTTGAACCAAGTATTTCACACTCACATAAAATGTGGAGATACTCATGTCTGTTTCGTGTGAAATTGTTGTGAAACGTGAATTTATTCTGCTGTTTTTATATGATAGCGACAGGATGGGGAAAGCGGTAAATCTTGAAAATTTTCTTTGACCGAATTCCTGTCGGCACGTCGGAAAAAGATGAAAAAGGTGTTTTTTTAAAATACTTCATTCCTGACCGATCCTCACTACTTTAACAAATTATTGAACAACCAGTCGCTAAATAACATACTTTTTTTAAATATATCCTAGTATTTCAAATATTTTACCAACTAGACAACATGTGTCCACTTTAAGTACAATGGCTTCAAATAATAGTGAAGATGGGAATATCCAAGAGCAATGAAGGGAGGGACTTGGCCTTTGTCCTTGCCAGGAAGGGCCACAATACCTTCGAGGGCCTATTGAGAAACCGTCTTTCCAACAACGGCCCTGCCCTTTTGCCCGGCGTAGAATTCAAAATGTCGAGTGCCCACTCACTCATCCCTCTCATATCTATCAAGCCGAATTTTTCCTCCTATCCCTCGAGCAACTTCACCGCTTATCCTTTCAAAAATATGGGGTTTAAACATTTATTTTTAACGGAAAACATAATGTGGGTAGATATAAACGTGTAACAAAATGTTTTTTTATCATAATCAAAATTACTTGATAAAAAGTTATAAGTATGTACTATTTTTTATCAAACAAAGCACATACTGAGCTTATTTTGTTTTTGGTCTTAGATTCGGCTTCCTTGCGACCAATATTGGTCTATTGTGCAATCTCTAACTGATGGGCCTCTCACAGGGGTAGGAACCTCAGCCTGTACAGGAATTGGCACCATCAAGGACATATTCCGCTGTTTCTTCTATTAGCAATATCTTGACAGGCTTATCTCTGCTAGAGATATGCTTCCGTAGTCACTGCAGTGACCACTCAGCACTATCATTATAATCGATGAATTAAGGTTTTGGTTGGGATAAAAAAGTCAGTGTCACAAGCGGGATTCGAACCCACGGCCTTCGGCTAGGTACTCCGCTACTCTACCACTTGAGCTATCGTGACTTCGATCCACTCGGACACTAACTTCCCATCTCAACTCCACCTTTTGAATTTTCCCTCCTTTTTGCCATTTTTCATTACCATTTCCTTAATTAATTGAAAAGAATTTATTTGGTCAAGCGGACCACGAAACTTAATAAAATATCATTATAAATCACTAATTTCGTGGTCCGCTTGACCAATTAATATATTACAATTAATTAAGGTTTTTTGGTTGAGATAAAAATTATTTATTAGTTCGAATCCCGCTCGTGCCATTGACTTGTTTATCTCAACCAAAAATCCTAATTATCATAATAATGTTGATCCTCTGGATTTAGTTGTTCTGCAGTTTATTTCTGCGATGACTTGTATAACAAGTTAAGAAGCTTTGCATTTTTCGTGAGTTAGTGATTCAGGCGTAAAACTTTTGTAAATTAATGTGATATACTCATTAAAATTGTGTATGTAAATGTAATAAACAATTTCCCATGTTGAGAAATAGCGCACCAAAATTACATGACTCAGCCAAGAAACTTTGTTAATTTAAATTTGGTCAAAGCAACATGTTACAAATTTAATTTAATCGAGATATTTATTTATAGAAGTCCTATTTAAAGTAGCATAAAATAAAACTTCATTTTTGTTTAGCTTCATCCAGTTTTGTCCTTTAGATCAGAATCCGAATGACATTACACACGTAGCTTAAATGATTGAGAAAGCAATAACTGAACAGCCGTCGACACAATATTAATCACCATTCTAATGAGAACGTGTAATTACCTTTTGTGACCGATGGTTTTTAATAAATGAACGGAGACCTACGACGGGCAGATATTTCAAGTCCTTTGCCCCTGAATAATGAACCCGCGAGAGTATGCAAGGGACGTGACTTAACTAATTATGTATATCGATTTTGAGAGCTCGGCCCACACTTGTTTCGTTTTTCACCTGTCCTTACAACAATTTGCATAATAGTAAAGAATCAACATCAAAAATTATCCAGTGGCAAAAATAACCATTCAACATTTCTTTATGTAGTACAAATGTATTTTTAACTCTCGCTAAACCAGCAATCCTCCTTTCCATAGACAAATATTTCAAAGCCAATACAGCCGGTTATGTGGTCTCTTAAACAAACAAGATTAATTAGAAATTAATCAAGTTACCTGTATGTCTAAACTAATGGTTTCAAACTCTCGGTTTCTACGTAGTACCTATTCTCCTTTGGTTCTCTCGAGTAATTGAAGTGCCAAGGTTCAATTATTAAATCTCGTTGTATACACAAGCTTTGCGAGACGAGAATCTTCTGTAATGCCGTGATAGTTACCTGAACGATTTCCTCATATCCCTGAGTTATATAGTTCTATACTAAAAAATATGAAGCGCATGTGGATATGGGATTTTTAGACAAACTGTCATAACTAGTAATGGACGGCAGATATGTTGAAAAAGCTTCAGTAAACCGATTAGTCTCAAAACAAACAACCAGTGAATAATCCCCGCAAAAGTTCCCAATAGGATCCATAATTGAGCTTGATGTGGAAGATAATCTCCATGAAAAAATTCTTGAGTTATAGAATGGTTATCGCCGATTAACAAGGGTAATAAGTTGTAACCAGATTGAGGCTGGACATTATAAAAAGACAAATGTCAGCGACACTTACACTGCCACCCATAAAATCTTTCAAATTTTTACGTTCATTACCACCCAAACAGTCAAGCGCAACTCTTAAAGTATTTTAACAACAACAAAAATCATCACAATTATGTAATCAAATGGTAAAACCTTAAAATCAATTAGAATTCAGTTGAAGTAATCATGATCGGAGAGGTTTACTGTTTGTGGGAAAACCTTTTGCTACATCTGAATACTTTATTAATTCTGGTCTGGCTAATCTCGTATTTTGTTCTGTCGAAAAGCGTCTGACAACCAAAGCAGCAAACGTAGTCAGATCAAAATGATTGAAAACGATCAAAGTAATGAGTTTTCATCTAGCAGACCTCAAAAAATCTCGTAACTATTTTTTTAGTACCTTTCTCTTCTTGTTGTTTTGCACTGCCAAGAAGTGCTTTACAGCTTAATTAGCGACAATATGACGTCAATTGTTATGGGAAACGACCGAAGTTTAGTCAGCACTTCGCAAAAGTCCGAAAATCTCCATACTACTATTTTTAATCTGTGGACTTCTCAGATTATACTTTTCATCCATTCTTCGATATTTTTGTCTGTCGGCAGGCGTCTAACAACAATAGGACAAACATATAAAGTGAAAGATCAAATTTCGCTCCATCATCCCGCAGATATAAACAATTCTCCGAACTCTATTTTAACCATTTCGTTTTCCGGATCATCTTGGTCAGACTTGTTTCGACAAACCAAAACAAAAACGATTTTCAAATCAAAACAATAATACAAATAATTTGATACACACGACCAAACTAAGAGCCTTAATCTCGCAGTCCTCACGAGAAAATCTTCTAATTACTATTTTTGTCCTGTGGTCCCTTTAATCTATTTCTTGACAGCCGCGGTAGCCAGGTGGTTAAAACGTCCGACGCTCGGCTCTTGATCTCGCGGACCTGGGTTCAATTCCACCGTCGCCAATGGAGTTGTCTTTGTGTCGCCTAAGGGACCAGTGGCCGCAATGAAAATTGACACGCCACTAATCAATTGAAGGTTTTGGGCGGGATCGGATCTTAACCCCCTTCGAAAATTTGTTTCTTTGACTGAACAGACGCGTTGCGAGCCCCCAAAAATACGAGCTAGGAAGGTGTACTATACGCTGTATTGAGCTGCAGTACTCAGGAGGAACACCGGTTCCTGGTATCCACCATAGTAAAAAAAATCTATTTCTTGTCGATTTCTTCTTTCTGGCCAACATATTGACGATAAACAATAAAGTAGTTAAGACCAAATTTCTTCTAGACGAACAAACTAAAGCTGATCCATCACCTGGTTGACCATAAGAGAAAATCTCCCAACTACTTAAAAGTTTTTTTTGCCTTTGTAATCTTTGCTATTATGGTCTGTCGTTATGGTCTGACAAACAAAAGTGCGTGGATATGCCGTCCAGGTTAATCCAAAACGACCAAACTATGGGGCCATCACTTAGCTCACCTCAAAAACATTTTCTAACTACTCTATTTATCTTTTAGCTGTCTGTGATTATCCTTGTTGGTCCACGCGTTCTGTTTTGGTCTGTCGAAAAGCAAAATAACAAGGTAAACCGTCAAAAATTATACAATTCTGACTCATTATTTTGCAGACTTAAAAAATTTCCGATTCTCCTGGACACGTTTTTCTCTTCTGGGATGCGTTCCAAATTGGTAAATGGGAGATGAAAAAGAATCCAACGGTGAAAATTGACTGATTGGTCCGAGTCAAAACATTTTTGTTTTAAACCTATGTATTGAAACCTTTCCACTTTGTTCTAGTATGACTAATTTTACTTTGTTCCATGTATTATTTGCTATTTACTATTGTAATGATTGTCTTATAAAATTGCTATAGGTTAAGTGTTAGTCAAAGAGAATAAGACGAAAGTTGTTTTGATCGTTGTCCTCACATTACCCCTTACGTATTTTACAAGGACTCTTCTGCCTCGCCACTCTTATAGCGGCACGTTCGTCGCAACAGACCAAAACAACAAGGATTGTTTGGCCAAAATGATTGAAAACGATAAAAAACAAAGCCACCTCCTCGTAGACCTTAAGAGAAAATTTCACTTATTTTTATATTAAGAGAAAACATGTGTTTTTAAAAATGAATAATCACGAATTTAATTTTTTTTATTTAAACATAAATAATTATGCATAATAATTTAAGTTTGACTTTTTTTTGGCTTGCACTTCCAAAATGGCATCCATAAAGTCTTCGTGGGTGACTATATTTCCGTTCCTTCGAAGTGCTATCATCCCCGCTTCGACACAGACGGCTTTACATTGAGCACCGTTGAAATCGTCCGTGGACCTGGCGAGCTCCTCGATATTGACATCAGGACTGACGTGCATTTTCCTCGAGTGTATTTGCATGATTCTGGCCCGAGCCGTCTCGTTCGGATGGGGAAATTCTATTTTCCTGTCCAACCGGCCTGACCGGAGCAAAGCCTGGTCGAGGATATCGACTCGGTTCGTCGCAGCGATCACTTTTATGTTCGAAGTGGAACTGAACCCGTCCAACTGATTGAGCAGTTCTAACATGGTCCTTTGGACCTCGCGATCTCCGGCCTTTTCGGAATCGAACCGTTTCGTGCCGATTGCGTCGAGTTCGTCTATGAATATCACGGTTGGCGCTTTTTCCTTCGCGAGGGCGAACGCGTCCCTCACCAACTTGGCACCGTCGCCTATGAACATCTGCACCAACTGGGGGCCGGCCAGTTTTAAAAACGTCGATTTCGTTTGGGCAGCGCAAGCACGTGCCAGGAGGGTTTTTCCCGTTCCTGGAGGGCCATAAAGCAAAACACCCTTCGGCGGTTGGATCCCGAGGGCTTCGAACTTCTCCTTGTGGGTCATAGGAAGAACTACCGCCTCGATCAGTTCCTGTATTTGCTTATCCAACCCGCCGATATCCGAATACTGTTCCGTCGGCCTTTCGTCTACTTCCATCGCTTTCACCCTCGCGTCGTACTCCGCAGGCAAACTCTCTAAAATCAAATAAGAATCTTTATTGACGCCTACGAGATCGCCTGGTTTCAGTTTGTCGGGATCGACCAGGCCTATAACCGGTAAAAAGTACGTCTGTCTAGTCGAAGTTTTAACTACTACACATCTCCCTTGTCTTTTCGCATCTACGTCTACGGCTGCACCTTCTTCCTCCGTGTCTTCCGGCTTCAGCTCCAGCAATTCAACCACGTTCGCGACTAAATAGGGCAACGTCTTGTTCACTTTAATTTTCTCTGTGTTTTCTTTAATCTTGTCTTTTTGCGACTGGAGCTCGTGTGAAACGCTCATTACTTCGCTCTTCATTATCCTTATTTCTGTATCTAACAAGCGCATCCTTCGATTTAAATCGTTTACCGACAACTTTTCGATATCGACGTTTTCTCCTTCAACATCGACCACCGAGAGAATTTCTGGTGATGCTGGATCCCACATCTTTATATGAAACTATTGAAATTAGCAGTTATCACGTGATGTAAAACACCGAAAACGGACAGTTCTTTTGCAACATATGACACAATTCTAATAATTTCCGAAATAAACTATCAAAAGCATAATACCATGTGATAACGTTTTTATAATAAAACATCTGTAGGTGTGTTGTATTGCCATAAGGGGATGGAAATATTTTTTCCAAATATACTATCAGTTTTATTATCTTATACAAGTAAGATAATCGGTATTATTAGCAACGATTTGTTTTAAAGATTTAAAGCTGTCTTAGAGCCATGTCCTTTTTTAGCCAACGATTACCACCTGTTGGTACCAGAAGAGAAGTAACCGTCGTCGGTGAATGTTTGGATTTTCTTCGGCCAGTGTGATATAAATGCGAGTTTCCATAAATGTATCCATAGATAAATAAGATGTTAGGTTTCGGTTGTTAAGGGCTTTGTTGAAAAGTTTCAAATCCTACTTTTGCGCTTCGGTTTTCTTTTTATTTTTAATCATAGATACTCCACCGATAACCAGTGGGACTGCGCTTTAAAGTTTAATAAGGAAACCTAGCTTTCAATTACAAAGCAGACGACTTTCGACTTAAAAGACAGTGGTGCGATGTCAAAAAAATCTTTATTGTAACTAATACAACTTTTTACTTGCAAGTTCACTGGCATGAAAAAATCTATGGCCACATTAGAAAGATAATTATGGACATGTTTAATGAAAATAAAATATTAACACTTTTTTTGAAGGTTTGATGATCATCTATTTTATGTTTAAATAATTTAATTTTTACTTTCTTATAATAAACCAGGACAGTTTCAGAAGGATTGAGGTTTAATGAGTAATGACAATAATCGATTGTTAAAATATTTTTATCAGAAATGTTTTAACAATCGATTATTGTCATTATTCATGAAACATCATTCTAAACATACCATAGAAATGAGATTATAATTATATAAACTTACATTTAATTTATTAAACCGATATATTAAAATTTTAAACTTTTTTTTATTTGTTTAATAATTCAGAAAAGTTAAAATTCCCTTGTTTCGTATAAATATTTTTTTTCTTCTTCCTCTTACACCAATAGAACAAGGATGAATAAATGGATGGACTGGATCATGGGACCAACTGTCTATTCTGTTGGGAAGCACTGAAACAAATTGCAATCTGCTGAAAGCGTACAATATCTGACGGTAAAACAACGTTGGTAGATAGGCCTTGCTTTTTTAAGATTAAGACAACAGTAAGACGGTGATAAAAGCAATAAAATGAATTAAGTTTGAAGTTTAACTTGTAAGCAAGATTGGCATTCGTTTCAACCGTCTGTCTTAAATATTGTTTATAACGACGATTTGAATAATGCTCTAAGACTGTTTTGAATTTTTATTTTGAAGAAAACTAATCATTGTTATCCATTCATCATCATAAAATAGATTCTTCATTGACCGCATTTTTTCACCCAAATCATTTTAAAGCTTCCAGCGTTTTGTTAAAATACATACTTTCACAGGATATACATGATTTTTCAACACAACTAAATATATAGCACATTGCAAAAGTAATTTTACTTCTGAGAACGACAGTAAGAACAGCAAACAGAAATATTTAAATTTAGTTGTTGATCAAAAGTTAAAGACAAATTTAGAAAATATTGTGTACTTTTGTCAATTTGGTGAAATTCAACTGATAATTCGGCTAAACATTATTTTAATATTCTATTTATTTTATTACCTTTTTGACAAACTGGTCAAACTGCGATCCCTAGCAGGAGAGACAAACATGCTTTGGAGGTCCATTTTTCATTTGCAGCCGCTTATTATGAAGGAAAAGATTAATTGAACTTGTTCATATTTTTAATATTGAAAAATAGTTGGTAGAGCAAATATACTAGCAGTGGTTATAGCAGCATAATTTGCAGTAATAGAAGTACGAAGAAAACTAGACGTAGAGAAGATTAGATAGAAGTTGAGTCAAAGTTATAAAAAGGAATAATTGCACTTCAAGGAGTTCTAGCAGTTCTAAACTGTGATAGTTGCGGTAGAAGGAGTATTGGTAGTAGAAGGTGGAGACGTTTTTATGGACGTTGTGGCAGTAGAAGGTATAGTAGCAGTAGGTGCCAATTGAGATTTTAAAGTTTTAGGTACAAAGCGTACTAGCAGTATAAGCTACAGTGGAGGTGAAAAATGCGAGTGATATGCAGCATCACTAATATCAGTGGAAGAAGTAGTAGCGGTAGAAGGATTAGTATTCCTAATAGAAGTTGTAGCCGAAGTACGACTAGTCGCAGGTTTAGGCGTACAAGTAGTTATAAGAGTAGATAATGGGGGTACCAGTTGAAGTAGAAGGAATATTAGCAGTAGAAGATATAGTAACTTTAATAAGCTAGTAGCCATAGTAAATTATTACTATTATTACAAATAATGCTGACAGTACAAACATAGAAGCAGTTATAATAGTAGTGTCGATGGAGCATTAGTTGCACTAGAAGATGTACTTGTAGTGGGAGCATTATCAATAAGTAATAAGGGTCATGGAAGTTGTAACTAGCAATAAACTTTACAGACACTGCAGAACTAAGAAAATATATTATCTAGCCGATCTAGATAGATATCCTACTGGGGGCGTCGGTGGGCGCAACGGTTTAGGCGTTGACACGTCGCTCATCACTGTAAGGTAATGGTCCCGGGTTCGAATCCAGCGGCCCTGCATTCAAACCCGACATACTTATAAACGGACTTTTTTTTCAAAAACACCGGCACCCCGAGGGTTGATATAACCTCTGTTGTTGCGAACCCCGTAAAAAAAATTTAAAAAAATAAATAGATATCCTCAGCGACAAATCCCTGTTTGAAAGTTTTGAGAAAATTCACTTTTAGCGTTGTTTTGATAACAAGTATAGTTTTTATTCCGATGATATAAGTTAATTAAAACCTAAACCAACGATTAACGACTGATAGCCTATCATAAACATTAATTGAAAACAATACAATACTTACAAAGAGTGATTAGGCCGAAAATAATGAAAGGAAATAACTAAATTAATGGATTGACCTCCGCAAGCCAATAGTTTATCATTGTAATTTTTCACGATTTGTTTCTTTGATTGAGCAATTTTTATAGAAGAAACAAATAAAAAATAGTGAATGTAAAAATGAAACAAAGATACGACTCATCTTTCTGTAAGAATGAAGCCAAAAACTCATTATTTTCTGATAGTAGCAGCATTTCATGGTCCAGCTGTTCGATACAAAAAAGAAAAGAAGCTCAATAGAAATCGACAACCACTGACTGTTGTGAACAATAATCGTTCTAGATTAAGTTCTCTGTTTTATATTTGATAGAATTTAGATTATGGCTTGCCTGGTTTCTTTCTTAATGTTACGGTTTACCTTAGAAAAACACAATCTGAATACTGTTGAATTATTTATTTATAAGGTTTTATACGAACCACATAAGCCGGCCTTCGGATTGAATTTAAGGGCTCATACAATACAAATAGGGCTTCGTGCAAGACAAAAAATTATACGATTCGGGAGGCTTGCTCCTAATTTTGATCATATTATGCTGCGTTGGGAGTAAATCGTAAACTTTGTTTTCGTGGTTTTTGGTCAAAAGTGGCCGTTTGGAGTTGTCAGGGAAGTCGTAAATTTCCTTTTGTTTGTGATGAAAAGACTTGATTTAGATGGATTCAGTTTGATACAACTACCGGGATTCGGATGAAGTTACAGAACTTCCTTTTATCTACTCCAGCGGCATCCTGTTAGAACAAATAGACTTTTCGGCAGCTAATCGAATTAGGGATAAACCATGAAGGAGGAAATCGACTTCATAAAACACTAGTAACTAAACCGTTGGTGATAATATCAGCAAATAAACATGACAAAACCGAAAGTTTTTATCCATAAATCCATGTTAATCTTAAAGTTTGAAAAAATCATCTATGGCTTATAGCTCATCTAATCATATATTTGTTATTCAGATGTTACTCCGCTTTAGTAAATTTAACAGTGTTTTCTCTCTAAAACAGGTTTAAGTGTTAAAAAATAAAAACTTAATAGAATCCTTGTTTTGTTGATTTTTTAATTGAAGTAATAATTTATTATTTTGATAACAAACATATATGTTTTTATGTGCTTAACTAATTTTTATCATACAAATTATGCTTTTCCGTTGAAACGAAAATAAATCTGATATAAGATAAGAGAGGAATGCGTCCATTTTAATATCATACCACTTCCCCTTAAATAAATTGTTACCATACCCGATTTTTTATTAAATTTTGAGTTTGAAATAAGTTAAATTGTTGTCGTAATTTTATTATTGAATCATTTTCAAAATTATACCGGTTCACAAAAGCGTAAAAAGTTGCTGTAGGTTGTTAAAGTTAAATTAAATTATCTTCCACTGAGTCAGTTTCTAAGTGATTGGGTAGCAATTTGATAATGTCTTATAACCTAAACATTCCAGCTTTTATTATTAACAATTCGATTATTATTTTCAACCGAACAATTCTTCTACAAGTTATATGAGGTTATTTCACATGAAATGTCTGTCATTATAATAATAAAAATCCATAGACAAATAAGCAATTTCCTGTAGCCTATACCAGCATGTTTACAATTAATAATAAGCAGTTATTCAGGGCTTGCAATTAGGTGTACATAGTACATACAATTCTCCTGGAGGAGAGATTTCTGGGTCTTCTTGGGTGTCCGTGAATCTTACTCCTGTGAGGGTACCGGAAGAAAACTGGGTTATGGCACTCCTGGAACCCGAACCTCGGAATAGTCAACGAAGAGGTCTTGCCACCATATGTATAATGTGTCACCTAGTCCTGCCAGGAGGCGACTGGATGGTTATCGTGCTGGGCATCGCGGCGGAGCCTCTTGATAAACTATTTTAACAAAACAATTACCAAGGAATATATTATGAGAAGTAAGATAAAATAAATAAGAATATACATCATCAGACACATTTAAAAATAAACGTTTGAGTTTCCGAGATTAATAGATTACACAACATTTGAAAAATGGCAAAAAGGAGGGAAAATTCAAAAGGTGGGTTGAGATGGAAAGTTAGTGTCGGAGTGGATCGAAGTCACGGTAGCTCAATTGTTAGAGCAGCGGTGTATTTAGCTGAAGGTCTTGGGTTCGAATCCCGCTCGTGACACTGACTTTTTTATCTCAAACAATACCATTCATAAAGATTAATTAATTGAAAAAAGTAAATTGGTCAATCGGACCACGAACTCTAATGGATTTAATAAGTAAAATGAAGTAAATCTTCACTAAAGCTCTCTGTGGCCATTTCATTTTTCGCCGAGAATGAAATACATTACACGACATTTGAAAAATGGCAAAAAGGAGGGAAAATTCAAAAGGTGTGGTTGAGATGGAAAGTTGGTGTCCGAGTGGATCGAAGTCACAATAGCTTAAGTGGTACAGCAGCGGTGTATTTATCCGAAGGTAGTGGGTTCGAACCCCGCTAGTGACGCTGACTTTTTTATCTCAACCAATATCTTACTTAAAGATTAATGAATTGAAAAGAATTAAAACTAAACTTATGAAAAACGCTACTATATTTTTAAGACAAATGTTTTTTAAAAGTTCTGCTATTTTATAAACAAACAAATATATAACACTTTTTAAAAAACTATTAATGAGTAAATTTATTAATGATTAAACTTATATTTAGCTCTTTCTTTAGATATGCATTTTATACAATTTTTATCTTTTTAGTTGATGAAGTAGAGAAATGTTTAAATATTAATAACGAGAAGGGTAAAACTGATTCCTCCTACCTGCCGTTGAAAATAAAATAAGCGTCCCTTCCAACTCTTCGAACCGAAACCGTACATAAAGCACGGTGAGAAAGGGGGAAGAACACACTCAATAATAAAATACCTCATGTTTAAGAAAGATATGTTAGCCAAGATGTACGTGGTCACAATCACCAAACGGCTAGTCTAGACGTAAATGCATTCCTTTCCCGTGACCATATACCACATATTGATTGGATAGCAATATGGAATGATTTATAGCAATAATTTAGCGATAAAATTGTTATTAGAAATGTAAGAGGAATTGTTGGTTATCTTGAAATAGCAATTATCATTTCAAACATTGTGGGTAGGTGAATGTTGAATAATAATTATTTAATGGATTTTACTTGAGTTTGCACTTAATTTGCTTTAGAGGGTCTTCCCAGGCTTAAAATAAAGAACTCTTCATTCCAGAGGTTTGATGCAATTTTGTTTTGATAAATAATACACACCGTATATTTATTTTTTTATTATTAAAGTTTATTGTACATTACAAGCTTAATCAATTTTAAATATAGCATTGAATGTATAAATCGTACAGTAAAAATTAAAAATAATTAGATTGTTTAAGGAAATTATTTTCTGGTCGATCTTTTTAATCTTAATTACATTATTATCATCAGGGCTTGGCAGAATTTAATTAACCCTATAAATTAATATAGTCATAACTAGAGCCCGGATTTGTATGCAATTGCATATTCTTTTTGCTTACACTTACGACCGTGACGCAGTAGTTGAAATTTTATTCGGTACATTTTTGCATATTTCAAGAATACGGTAAATTTAAAAAAGTTTTGATGACATACTTACAAAAATAAAAATAAACTAGGCAACTAAGAACAATGAGAAGAAAAGGACGAGAACGTAAAATTTTATTTAGATATCAATTGATGTTCCATGAACACAAACAAATAAACCGACCCAATAGAATTGTATAGAAATAATCGGTATCTGTATTTGAAGCCCCCTATTTCAAAAACTTTTAGGTGCAGTTTTTTGTCTTTCCTGAAAAATCAATTATTCTGAATTAGTCGGGTTGTGGAAAGAAATAGGGGCCTAATTTGAAATACCTACTAAAATAGTCAAGTCTGTCATTCATATTTCCAACCTAGTAAGCCTAAAAATACCAAAAGTGGGAACTTCAACTTCTAAAATAGCAGGCTGAATTTTTCAACAAGAAACAGAAATCCCGGGCGATTTAGTAATTAATTATATTACAAAATAAATTAAAAAACAACCTTAGCCAAAATGCCGGCTTGACTGAATCGGTTAAATTAATGAAATCTGAAATGAAAGCAATTAAGTTTTTATAGAGGGACACGACGATCCAACTTTTTAAATAACTACCTGGATGTTGAAAAAAAAATTCTCTTGGAGGTACAAATGTTTTTTGAACGATGAATGCTGTAATTTTACAGACATTTCTTTGGATTGTACATCATGGTCACTTTTAATTCACATCAAGAACTTAATTAAACCTAATTATTTATTTTGCAAAAGTTTTAATTATGTGATTTTTGTGTGACGTAATTGGTCGGTTCTATTTTTCCCTCCTACATATTTTAATATTTTTAATTCAAATTATATGGCATATTTGAGGAGGATTGTATTATATGACATATTTGAGAATTTTTATTGCATATAAAATCGGGTTTTCATCTCAATTATTTCAATATACGAGTCAAACTTTTTTAAAAAATTAAAATTCTGTACAAGTTTAATAAATTGTGAAATTTCTCTCTGTAGCATTAAAGAGTGATAACTTGTAATTTGATAGTTACAGATCTTTTTTCCCCCATCCTCCACCCCACCGTACCAGAGGGAGACCCCTTACCGGCGGACCTCGGCCTCTAAACTGACCTATTTTCTTGTATGGGGGAAAATGGAAGCTTCGCCTTCCTTATGCCTCGCTCTAAACGAGGGGCACGAAGAAGGTTACGGATACATATATTTTTTCTCTCTGTATTAATTAAACTGACCTAATCTAATAGGTCTCCCCTCCATCATTTTGGTTTGTCTATATTGTCTGGCCCGTCAGAACCGTTTCGGCATTTCGCCATCTCCTTTGTGTCTGTGTGATTTTTATTGAACCGAGTCTCTCTTATTGGGTGGCGTGTCAGTATAATCTTTGGTTTTTGGGGTCCCGGGCAAAAAACGAGGGAAAATTCAAAAGGTGGGGTTGAGATGGGAAGTTAGTGTCCGAGTGGATCGAAGTCACGATAGCTCAAGTGATAGAGCAACGGCGTACCTAGACGAAGATCGTGGGTTCGAATCCTGCTCGTGCCTCTGACTTTTTTGTCTCAACTAAAAACCTTAATTAATTGAAAGATATTAATTAATCAAGCGGA